TCTTCGACAAGGGTTATGGGGAACAGCAGTTGTGGACAAAGGATTTTAAGCCCAAACCCGCTGTTGAGGCCGTCGATAAAGTTTTGAAATAAATGTGCATTTATTACAACACTAATAAATATTTATTTTATTAATATTTATACAGTATATTAATTAAAATGTCATTATAAGAGTCTATATAATGTCTAATAATTGGTTGATAAGAGAAATTTTATTTGTTCAGTCATATTGCTCTACAGTTGTGTTTATTATTGAAAGTAATACCACTTTCAAGTGAATCTAATCAATTTAAAGTACTCATATACCTAAATAACATGTAAACATATTAATTTAATGAAACTGTTTATAATCGATAATTTTAAGTAGACACAAACTAACACTTGACNTCTACAGTTGTGTTTATTATTGAAAGTAATACCACTTTCAAGTGAATCTAATCAATTTAAAGTACTCATATACCTAAATAACATGTAAACATATTAATTTAATGAAACTGTTTATAATCGATAATTTTAAGTAGACACAAACTAACACTTGACCCGAACACCAGGTATATTTAATGCTTATTATGTGTTATTATCTTTTTCCAACTAACCTAGATCAGTGTGTATGAATACAGTATACATTGTGTTCAGATTTATTTTAATGCAACTTAATAGTATAAAATAAACGATATCTATTTATCATTATAACAATTAATTCATCAATTTATATAAAAATATTGTCTAAAAACGTCAAACCAATTATGAGTTGGGTATTTTTCTGTACAGTCTATGATAATAATAATATACTGATATAGAAAGTCAATTAAGTCAAAGGCTAAGTATAATTAATTATTTGCAATTGACAAAGGTGCATTTATTTCAAAACTTTATCGACAGCGTCTACGGCAGGTTTGGGTTTATAATCCTGAGTCCATAACTGCTGTTCCCCATAACCCTTATCAATCAACCAAGAGTATTTATCGGTAAAGCCCCAAACGGTTACCCCGACACACCTGTCCACGTTCATACACGCGCTAAAGGCATGACTATAATCCTGTGCCTGTTTAGCGATCTTATCGGCTGACCCAGGTAGCTGATATCTGACCTGCAGCTCAGTAATGGCTACATCGAGTCCCAAATCAGAGAAGCGTCTAATATTATCTTGATAAGTTGAGGGAATTTCATTTTCCCTGAAGTGAGCCTGCAAACCGACCCCATGAACGGGCACTCCCTTACCCTTCAACTCCTTGACCAACGCGTATAAGGCGTCCGACTTTGTGTTAACGGCTTCGACGTTGTAGTCATTGATGTATAGCTTGGCGTTAGGGTCGGCCGCGTGTGCCGTACGGAAAGCCTCCTCAATGAAACTGGAGTTAAAAGTTCGCGAGAATATGCTGTCCCTTAGTTTACCGGACCCGTC